AAAGCAACACGACAGGCTAATAATTTGATTACAACACTTTATATAGCTACTAAATTGTACCTTCATTCAGAGTCAAGTGGCATACAATATTTACAAGGTAACACCAACTAACGTGACTTCAGAGAATTTCCCAAAGTAGGGAATTTTTTCAATGGTGTATCAAACAGAGAATGATTCAAGCTTGAGGCAACATGCCTTCCAAAATAAGTATAAAGTCCCAACTACAGCACGGATACGCCTGGTTATATTCACAACTTATTCATATATTTAGCAGTGAACACACTGAAAGAAGTTGGTGCTCCACAGGTTGGGAATTTATACTTATTTTGGTGTTACCTTGTATATATTGTATGCCACTTGACTCTGAATGAAGATACAATTTAGTAGCTATAATAAAGTGTTGTAATCAAATTATTAGCCTGTCGTGTTGCTTTCAGATTGCCAGATTTTTCTGTTTGCAACACGGGGGATCTTTGCTGTTCTCTTATAATGGCAGTGGAACCCACCTGAGAGGTGCCGGAATTGAGTTCCAGCGAGTTCCATCTGAAAAAAGCCCTGCTTCTATGCATGGAATACAACTGAACAACTTAAATATATGTTAGATCAGGGGTTGGCGACGTTTTTTGAGGCCAGGCCGATCCACTCCCCCGTAGACCTCTCGTGGGCCGGCGCATACATGCCCATACGCACCCGTGCATGCACACATGCTATTTCTGGCCCTCTTCCGACTCGGAAGTCAGTCCCCGCAGTGAAAAAAGAAATGGCGCCACGGGGGAGGGGGAGCACAAACTCCCCACGCCGATCCACAGAATGGCCGTGGGCCGGTTCCAGGAATCTCATGGGCCAGAACCGGCCCATGGGCCTTAGGTTGCCAACCTCTGTGTTAGAGCTCTCCCTCCTGCAACTCTTTTTTAGTGAATGACTAAAATAGGGGTAAGGAAAGTGGATGAAGTAATGCAGTGGAGTACTTATGTTTAGGGATGAGACGGGGGCTTATTTATTTAGGCACAAGCCCCCAGTGGAAGATCAGCTCAATGTCCCAGTAATCAAACATCCTGAACATTTCAAGAATATTTTGCTTCTGATCCACATTAATTTCCTTCATTATACAGAGACCTAGAGACATCATTGTCATATCTGATGAGCTTGAGGTTTAATTGTAGCAATTTTGCCTCTTCTCTTACCTTAATAAAATAATGAAGCATGATTCTTCTTTCAAAAACTGGGATAAGACCTGGCATTTTTTTAACACACTTGACAAGGATTTGAAATGTGTGCACCTTAAACCCATCTTGAAGACACTAGCTTCACTTTTTATTTTTTTAATTATCTTTCACTCTGTCCTCCTTAATTTGGGATATTTATACCTGTCACTGAGCTGTGCCAGCTAAAAGAAAAAAGGAGTATAAATCATTCTTTCTCTCTCTCTCTCTATATATATATATATATATAAACTGAAACAAAATATTATAACAACAGATGTTTCCCCTGCAGTGATAGTTTCCGGTCCTAAGCTAAAAATAAAAGCTATTATGCCAGTAAATGAATATAAATTAAAAAATAATCTACTAAGGAATTTCCTTGCTTATCATGTTTCCATAAAATAAGTGAGTTTATCTTCACGGTTATAACCGTATATCCATGATAATGATGTTTTCTCAGTTGCAGGAAAGTGTATTCTAATTTTCATTAGGGAGTCTCTATGAAAATTAATTTCTAGGTTGAAAAATATAGGATGGCCTACTAAGTATGGGGAATTCTGCTCATACTTTTCAGGTTCATGTAATTATTGTTACTATGGTTTATTGTAAAAAAAAATTTTTTTTACACTGCCCCATGTAATTTTGAATCACACAAATTAAACTTGTGTATCCCACCTCACCCCCAAGTTCAAATATAAACCTCCCAGAGGTTGGGAAGGGTATTCACATTAATCTACAGCAGTAGAAGATAGTAGATAATCACAGTAGGTACCACTGCAGTGGGAAGGTAAACAGCGTTTCCGTACACTGGTTTCTGTCGCGGTGTCCCATTGCACCAGAAGCGGTTTAGTCATGTTGGCTACATGACTTGGAAAGCTACCTGTAGACAAATGCTGGCTCCCTCAGCCTGAAAGCAGAGTTGAGCGCCACACCCCATAGTTGAATTTGACTGGACTTAACCACATTAATCTACAGCAGTAGAAGATAGTAGATAATCACAGTAGGTACCACTGCAGTGGGAAGGTAAACAGCGTTTCCGTACACTGGTTTCTGTCGCGGTGTCCCGTTGCACCAGAAGCGATTTAGTCATGTTGGCCACATGACTTAGAAAGCTACCTGTAGACAAATGCTGGCTCCCTCAGCCTGAAAGCAGAGTTGAGCGCCACACCCCATAGTTGAACTTGACTGGACTTAACCATCCAGGGGTCTTTTACCCTTAACAGCAGTAGAAAGATGGTCTTCCAATAAAATATTTGTTTTTGCATTTGGCCAGAAATGCTAAAATCAGAATTTCTGTGAGCAGGTGTGGGTGTGGCTGGTGCACATCCCGGGGGTGTGGCGCACCACCCATGGGGGCATGGCACCCAGCACGGTGGGGGGTGCACAGCGCATGTGCGAGGGGGCAGTCACGATGGTACCGCCCTCCTTGGTGGTGCTGGGGGTGGTGCGCTCCCCACGCGTGCCCCCATTCCTCCACCAGTGGGCAGCAGTGATATACCTTTAGCAAAGATTAGAACTACCTCATACCTGTCAACTGCCCCAGAAAAAACAGGACATGTCATTTTTTCTTCTCACAAAAGGACTGTGGTCAAAGTGGCTGCCATGATTTTGCACGATTTTGGGCTGCACTTTTTTCAGGCATGGCACCCAAAAGCACACACTTTTGGGTGTCGCCCAAGATTGCTGCCCTGAAAAAAGCGTTTTGGGGGCAGCGATCTTGTGCAGCACCCCAAAACACTCATTTATGGGTGCTGTGCCAGGAAAAAAATGCTGTGATTTGTGCAGCAGGGTTGATCTGGAAGATAGTGTCCTGGATATGGGGGTGCATTGTATTGGAAGAGCCAAACTAGAAGTTACACAGGTCAGAAACTTTGGCCTTCCAGATGTCACTGGACTACAACTCTCATCATCTCTGATAATTGACTGTGCCAGCTGGGGCTGATGGGAATTGGGAGTCCAATAATATTAGAAGTTCCCCACCTGTCTTACACTTAACATGCGGTTGCTACCAAAAATGGCTGCTTGTCTAGATTCCCCCTCCCTTTCCTGTCTAACAGAACTCATCTGTGCCTAGATAGTTACAATGCTGTAGTTTGCTCTGATACTGCTCTCCAACATTGACTGCTACTTATACTTATTGGGTAGGGGGAGTGCCACACTCAATGTCAATGTAATATATGAAGCCTGCTAACATAAAAGGATGGCATGGGAGAATAAAGTGTGGAACAGAAGATGGACCACAGAGGTGGGAGGAAAGACATATGCAATATAAGCTCTTCTGGTTCTACTTCTGACTTCTGTGCATTCAGCAGAACCTCTGCATAGCGCCCATGTGCACGTAAGCTTTATGCATCTAGACTCTCTGCATATTCAAGGACCCTGTTTTTTCCAGGGTTCTGGTCGTGTGTACAAGCCCATATACATGCAAGATGAATGCATGTAGTTTCACATCAGAGGTTCTGCTGCATCGATAGAGGTCAGAGCATAGGGCCGAAGCTTAGTGGTCCAGCATATACTCTAGTTACAGGTAGGTAGCCTTGTTGGTCTGCCGTAGTTGAAACAAAATAAAAAAATTCCTTCCAGTAGGACCTTAAAGGTAAAGGGACCCCTGACCATTAGGTCCAGTTGTGACTGACTCTGGGGTTGCGGCGCTCATCTCGCTTTATTGGCCAAGGGAGCCGGTGTACAGCTTCCGGGTCATGTGGCCAGCATGACTAAGCCGCTTCTGGTGAACCATAGCAGCGCACGGAAACGCCGTTTAGCTTCCCGCCAGAGCAGTAACTATTTATCTACTTGCACTTTGACATGCTTTCGAACTGCTAGCTGATCGGCAAGCCCTAGGCTCTGTGGTGTAACCCACAGCACCACCCTTCCAGTAGCACCTTAGAGACCAACTAAGTTTGTTATTGGTATGAGCTTTCGTGTGCATGCACACTTCTTCAGCATATACTCTGCATGCAGAAAGTTCCTGGTTGAACTCCTAGCATCTCGGGTGAAAACAAAGATTTAGCAGGAGAAATCAAAGACCTCTCTGTGAGGCAGACTTTGGGCAGCTAATGCTAGTAACAGGAGGCAATACTGGGCTAATTGTGCCAATGTATAAGGCAGCTTCATATGTGAATCCACTTCCTCGCTCGTTTAGGTGGAATTGTGGCTTTGTTGTGTCGAAGAATCCTATGGAAAAACGTTAACACTTGTATGTGTGAAGTAATTAAAAGAAGGGCAAGCAAAATGTTTTTAGTGTAATTTATCTCATTTAATTTAGAGAAATCCAGTGACAATGAAGCTTCTTGTTACTTGCAGTGACACCCAAATAAAATAAGGACTAATTTCATTGGTTTTGAAAATCATGCTTGCTTACGTTTCAGAATGTTTCCAGCTACAGGCAATGTCCCCTCCTGGGTTAACTTGATGTTAATTCACATTAAGTTATTCATTTTCCCCCTTCACTCTACTATTGCTTATTTTGTAGTACTAGGAGCCAGAACTGGATTCTTGTAAGGTTTTTCCCAAGTCCCCTCCAATGATTTGTGATCTGTTTGCAGTTTTTAAAATTCTGACATGCACCATGTTGCTGTTATAACACATGAAATGTGCATTTACATTCTCTACTTATGTAGTGTTCATGTTAGATTACCTTCAAAAAGCTTTCTGTGACATTTTTGCACAGTTTTAAATTCTGGGAATGTCCTGTCCACAGTGATAGAAAGCAGTTTCCAGGAAAGAGTTAAACTGATGTAATATTGTAGGGCGGAAGTTTAACAAATGTGAGAACTATATAAAGCTATGAGATCAGAGGTTTGGAAACATCTTTTAGAAGGGAATCCTATCGAACTCAGTACTGACCTCACTTTTACTCATAGGCACTGCTTAACAGTTCACTGTTGGAAATAATGTTACAGTGGAGTTTTAAAGTACCGAAGGAGAGGCATTTATTCTGGACAGTGTTCTGTGCTTTGAGCCTGCTGGGTGAGTATTTGGTATGGGGGGGGGTGGACCCTTACAACTGCTGTGTTACTTGCAGACAGAAAATGAAGAATGAATCTTTTTCTGCCTGTGCCATAGTTATTGAATACTGACGGAAGTTTATCTCTTGTAATATCTGCTAGATGGCTAGATACTAATAACATTAGAAGCAAACTGGTAAACAGAATGCATAGCATGTAAAGGAATAGTGCACACAACTAAAATACTCTAATTAGTGGCATATAGAATTTTTGCAGGTTTTCTAGTTGTATAGTTGCCCATGTGCAGAAGTGGCATGCAGAAGGATATAAGATGCACACATTTTATTCATGGTTTTGCAATTCTCCATACCAGATTATCTCCAGTGATTATTAGCAAGGCTTCAGTATCCCAGAGACTAACATACATTATTTTTATTAAACATAAAATCCTAGACTGTGTAGCTGAGAGCGTCTGTTTGTAGCCTGCTAGCCTATAGTAGTTGGCACAACTGACTACTTTTGGTAATTACTGTTACTATTTTTGAATGCTTATGCATTTTGTTTGTACAACTTAAAAAAGTAATGATTAGGGAATGTTATGTTGCTATTTTCTAAGTTGAAGGTACTGCACAGTGTATGTATAGCACAACTGTGTATTTTGCACACTTTTGCAGCCAGAATATTTTAATTTATCTTTATCCACTAGACCATAAGACCCTCCTTAGACAACTCACTGGGCTGTATTCCTGTCTTTTTAATGTTTATTGCACTTTTTAGTACTCCCCAAAGGATCGTGCTTATCCTGCTCTGAAGCTGGCACGGCCTGTTTATTTACTTTGCGGAGTTTTGTTTTTCCTTCTTACATCTACTGGCCAAGTCATAGTTCATATGGCAGTTGTATTTGCTGCCCATGTACATCAAGTGAGCAGGAGAGATGTGTGTCTGCAGCTGGTCACAGCATGTGTCAGGGACATCACTTTGGTGGCTATGCAATTACTTGCCCTCATGTTTTAAACCATTCAGGTTTAAAAATCGAAGATTTGTGTGGCTGCAATTAACTTTGTAGACAAATAAATATAATATGGTCTGCTTTTTCAGTGTCATGTGTGAAAATTGTCTTGTGGCTGGCTTTCTAACATCCAGATATAGGTTTTTTTAAAAAAAATACATGTGGAATTGCTACTGCTGCAGTATCTGCAAGTTCAGTGTTGAACTTTATTAAATCCTTTTGAAATTTTATCTAATTTTATCTAGTAATTGAAAAAGCAATATGATACTCTATTCCCTTTAAAAGTAGGCTTCACTCCACACAATTACTTGATCCAGCTAGGGAGAAAATCATGTAAGCACATTTACCAATGAAGTCCAATGTTGAATAAAGATAGGTATCGGCATGCATCTGTCTATTGTGACTCTCATTCATACTACATTGAAAGGCTTCTAATGTGAATGAGAAGGTGCATCCAGGGCCATTAGTTATGTACAAGTAGAGCTGGATTTCCATCGCAATTAGAGATGCTTTCCAACGCATGAATTAGCATTTTGAAGATGCACATAGGGTTCTGTTTTTGGCTCCTGTCTACACTTGGCAAATATTTTCAAGGTAATTTTACGCCTGTGTGTCTTGGCTTCGTCTTCTGCAATAATACTTTATCTTCTTGGGCATATTGCCTAGAAATGTATGCATGAAAAGCATTATGTCATAGTTAAAGCAGCGGTGGAATGCAGGCATACGAAGCTTGCTTAGCTGCCTAGATATATCCTCATCAGTGAGCTTGCATTTTCTATTAGGGAAACATGGTTTTTGTTTTGGTAAGTAAAGCTAGTAGTCACCATACCTTGGGCTGTGAATGTGCTGGATTTCCCTCTCTAAAGCATGAAAAACAATTGGGTATATATTTTAATTTGTGTTCTATCATGGCATGCAAGTGAATCCCATGCCAAAACCTCCATCACCTTAGAACGTTCAGTACACTATTACTAAGTTTCAGAAATATACTAATCAAACTGAATATGGTTCAGAAGACTTATCAGCTAAAACCATGCATTTCTCTGAAGATGTAATTGTTTTTATTTTGTATTTTTATGCTGTGAACCGCCCTGAGATCTTCAGACTTACGGTGCTATACAGATTGATTGATTGATTGATTGATTGATTGAATAAAGTTAGTTAAACACATTAAGAACAAGAGTAATTTACAGATACATTCCTACGGTGACAGTATTGTGAGGATGGCACTAGGTAGTTGAGGAAATGTCCCATCCCCCCCCCTTGGTCCACTGGCTGTGTACACAACATACATTTAAAGCACCCCACCCTTACAAGAAACCTGGTAGTTGCAGTTTGTTAAGGGTGCTGGGAATTGTAGTACTGTGGGAGGAGGTAAACAACACTTCGTTTGCATGTTGGATAGTATGTCATTTTCTTGGTACAAAGGTCAACCACTTTTATGTCTACTTCCTGTTCCTAATTTTCAGCATCAGTTGTGCTTTCCCAGGCTACCTTGAGGTATGTGTGGGTAAAAATATTAAGTGCAAAAATGAATTATACACATCCAAACGCACTGTAGACTTGAACTGGTAAACCTAAGCCAGTCACATTTTTACAGCACATGTTCTCTGCATGCCCACAGCTCTTAGGTCATACATAACTCCCTTTCACACATTACATGTTTACCACAGCAAACAGAAATGTAACCATAGCCTACACGATTGTGAAGCAGCTTTTAGGGTTTTTGTTCTGCATAGATAGTAGTACACTTGATGACATTCAGAGGCATCAAGTGATACATTGATCTGATCCTGCAAGGTTCTGCAAGACATCTATTGTGAGATGCTAGTTTCTCAACTCCCATTGATTTATATGAAAATAAGGTCAGTTTTCCCAATTACCAAAAAGATGGCTTATGTTCTGAGAGCATCTTATTGTAACTTTATTTGTTTATTTATTTAACTTGATTTTCACTGTGATTTCATAGTTCACACACACTGTTAACAAAGTTACACTGTTTTATGTGCACATGTATGAATGCAACAAACATATTTTTATAAACATGACTATTATATGCTACTAGGGAGCTAGGATTGCCTATAGCCCCCCTCCATGTGTGTATGCTAAGAAACAAATATATGTTTACCACTACATAATGTCTGAAGCAAGAGAAAACTCCTACATGGAAACAACTTCAATATTGCAAAAAGCATGTAACAACAACAACAATTTATTATTTATACCCCGCTTATCTGCCTGGGTTTTCCCAGCCACTCCGGGCGGCTTCCAACAAAATATTAAAAATACAATAAAACATCCCTAAACAGGGCTGCCTTCAGATGTCTTCTAAAAGTCAGGTAGTTGTTTATTTCCTTGACATCTGATCGGATGGCGTTCCACAGGGCGGGCGCCACTACCGAGAAGACTACTACCATGTCATATGTGGCAATCTCAACCATGTCTAAATATGATTTACAAGTGTGATTTTTATATACAGGAGTAGTAACACAGTGCCCTCCTTATATTATTGAACTCCAACTCCCATCATCCCTGACTATTAGCCATCCTGCAGGGTATCTAACAACATCTGGAGGGTGCCATGTTGTCTGTCCATGCTATGTAGGAAGCTTTACCCCTTGAAGTGGATCTGACATTCCAGATTTCAGTCCTGATGACCACCATATTTGTGGTCAATCTGTTTTAAATAAGAATGTTGCAATCACAGCTGATTGTTAATTATGTTATTTAGAAAACTATATCAATATACAAGCCAGCTTCTGCTTTTCATGTCAAGATAATGTTTTTGATGTTGCTTTTGGCCTCATAAAAGATGCTTAAATATTAAATTAACGGTTCAAGAAAAGTTACCTTTGGCATGAGTAATGGAATATTCAAGTAGCCTGAACCTGACATTCCCTACAAATTAATAATTATACAGTCTGGATGCTAAATTTCATTTTGACATTTACAGATTAATTTTATTTGAAATGTGTACCTATGAGATGGTGGGTTCATTCAGTTAGACTTAAGTGCAGTCTAGAAGAGAAAATTCATAATGTGATTAATCATTACAGATTTAAATTCAAATAGTTAATAAACAACTAAAAGACAAATTACCTGAGCTGAAGTGAAATATTCAAGCAATTACATTCAAATTATTTCAGTCAGGCTTCAAAGTTTACAAAGATTATAGAACCCAGATATTCATATAATTAAATCCATTGTCTGAAGAATTAGCTATTGAAATAGCAGGCTAGCAGCCAAGCAAAAATCTCTTTTATCAGTTTTGTCTGAGTGTTGATTAGGTGAGCATGCTTGCAATGATGTAATGGCTTAAGCTGTCATCCTCTCTCCTTCCCACATTCTCTTCGCCCTTTTTTGGCATTGTTCGTGACTGCAAAAGCCCACACCCAAATCCTGTCTGGGCCATATGGAATAGGAAAAAGGGTTCAGGAGGGGGAAAGCGTAGAATTTTATCGGATATTTCCAGAGGGAAAGGGACTCCACCCTTTGAATTCCTGCCACATGGCAGGAGAGGAGCAAAGCTAGAGATTCATGAGTAATGCAGCTCAGAGTCCCCAAAGGTGGTGCTTGTTATAACTGCTGGAAGAATAAAATATAAATACTGATGGAATTTGTAATCCTGGCCTCTCGGTTTCAGTTATTTCCCATTTCATCCAAGATATGAAATTCTGGATCTGAGCATTATCACTGCTAGCATGCTATGGGATCAATATGATATTCTTTTGCACTCTGAGTACTAATAAAGGTGCTTACCACTACCTCCCATTTTCATTTTTAATCTCATTCAATCTATCATTATAATATCCAGTTATAATTGGGCAATCAAACAAGTGGACATACCATTTAAGAGAGCTGCAGCTGCTTTTCATGTTGCTTTTTAAAGTTGCAAGTTCACCATCTGGAAGATCTGAGAAGACACATATAATCATTATGTGAGACTTAACTGAGCAAAGTGTTACTGAGCGAAGACTTGTGTTCAGCATGTCTCGGAAATTGATTCAAAAGTC